TGTCTCCATTCCAGGTACATTTTATTACTTTATAGAATTTGTCCAATATTAATGCATTAATCCTTTATTTTCAAAAGTGGTAATAAATTCAAACATTTCGTAATGTAATTGCTTCTTTTCCTTTCCATTCATCTTTTTTTCAAATCTTGTCTTTAATATCGACTTTAGTTTTTTGTTTCAATCATGCCATATAATGATACTGTAATAAATACATGAAAATTGAATGAAGTAGCATGTCAAAAGCTTTATGTATTATCACAATATCTAAATCATTCTCAAAGATCTTCTTATTATATAACGGAAACAATGTCATTCATATTCAGTTGCAGACGCAGCAGAAAATCTTGAAATTGATGGCAATACAACGTTGAACGAAGGTGACAGATATGTGGTAAACTGTACTGGGGATCTGGCTCCGCCATCATGTACACTCGACCTGTTTACTAGAACCGCAACTGCCACGTCATTTACCAATTCTTCGGTAAATCCCCTTGTAACTAGTGGTGATGTTACCAAGTCCTGCTACCTCCAAACAACAAAGACTTATACTTTAATAGCCAACAGGACTGATAACGGCACAGAGATGCGGTGTGAGGCAGTTAACTCTTCCCCGGGCTCACGAACGACATCAAGTTCTCGAATGGTTCTTGTGAAACTTGCTGGTAAATGTAAAAATACTTAATCTCCCAACTCTGATACTAAAAACAATGTTTCTCTCTAACGCATGGTGCAAGTCTGTTATAATCACAGCGATTTCTAATCAAAGTAGAATTGATACAAAAGATGTTATTCAACTTAAAACATTTTAAAACGTTTCATGCAAGTTATCCTTGTTGTCTGTATCCCCGGATAATATTTGCAAACGTCAGGTATTGTAAACATTTATTCTTCATTTCCTGAAATAATGGCCAATCATTAGTGCTATCAGAATAAATGGTTAAGAGATTTGAATGTCTATCAATATGTATTGTCAGCGATTAGTTTATTATAATTATGACATGTGTTGAATATTCTATTATCTTTCTTTTAGAAATACAACTCGACAGCTCGCTAGCATCTTCTCATGCTAATCTACTCATTGCTTGCAACGTTCAACATGCACCAAATACCTGGAATGAGATTAAACTAATGTCTTCTGACATCAGTACTGGTATTGTCGCTGTTGGTTATGTCAACGGAACAACACAAAAGGACAACAACTCGTACCAACTGACCTTTCAACCTTCAAGTAGTAACGTAGCAATAAGTCTTCAATTTCCAAACACAACGAAACATTGTTTTGGGAGGAGGAACTACACTTGTTCACTCTATGACAACGGCAACATCATTGTGGATGCAGCGAAATATGTCTCCATTCCAGGTATAATAAACATATTATTAGTATTACCGTGTTATACAGTAGTTCTCTATAAAAAATATTGTATCAAATATTATAATGATTACGCAACATTTTCTTCAGATGTCCTGACGACAAGCTGTTTGAATTTACTTTTAATATTTTGTTTTTGATTTTGTTTTTAAATGAATACCTCTCAGATAAAAACATTATATCTATCCTACGCTTAAATATTTTATTTATCTACATGTATACAAAAATGTGTAACGGGAAAATTCTTTATCAGTTTATTGGTAAAGGTTCCACTACTATTTAGTTGTAGATACAGCAGTCAACGTTAAAATTGAAGGCAACACCACTTTGAATAAAGGTGACACGTATGTAGTGAACTGTACTGGGGATCTGGCACCGCCGTCAAGTACACTAGACCTGTACACTAGAACTGCGAACGCCGCGTCATTTACAAAGTCATCTGTAAAACCAATAGTTACCATTGATGGTATTTCCGAGTCGTGCTACGTCCAATCGACAAAGAGCTACTTTTTTATCGCTGATATAACTGATAATGGCACGGAGTTGAGGTGTGAAGCGCTAAATTCTTCGAGTGGATTAACATCGATGTCTAAAGGACAGTTAATTATTGTACGAGTTGCTGGTACGTATACCTTATTGTAATCACCACCTCCATCACTTCCATCACTTCCATCCCTTACCACCCCCATCCCGAACCCCGTATCAGACGCATGTCTTCGTTGGGAACACGTGCTCTCTTCATATGCGCGTTATATTTGGGGAAAATAATTATTCTTTGATATATGTCTGTTGGCTTCGGGCTTAGGTAAGTGAGAAGTTTTAAACTTCTTGAAGACATTTGAATTAGAAGTTTGCAACAGACGTAGACGGCCGAGCGAGGTCGTAAGTAAATAGAATAGGTGCTACAGTATAACAGTATTTTAGGACTATTCATAAATCACAGAAGGTTCCTCCGCCAAAGAGCATGTGCATAACGCTCACGCTATGTGCAAACCTAGTCATATTATTTTAGCTCTTTGTTAAAGGTCATCATGCGAATCATTCCTTTGTTCTTTATTTGTTTTATTACCATTTTGACGGATAAATAGGGGGTTGATTCTTTATCAAATACTTTACTCTGGTTTTGAATGCCCTTTAATTGTGATACGGCGTAGCAGGCTAAGTAATCATCAGTGATACCACATTTTAAGTTCAAGATTGAGGTTTATTGAAGATTGAATAACAATTTTACTGGGATTGTTTATTTTTCTTTCTTTTTTTTGTTTTATTTATATATAATCTGTGTCTTTAAAGATACTAACTTATCCCTAGATTTTTGTTTTTGTTTTTTGTTCTTCAGAAATGGAAATGAATGATTCTATCACAACACCTGAAGAGGAGATCACCATTAGCTGTAATGTACGGTACGCACCGTCCGGATGGGATAACTTCAGTATAGTATCAGTGAACAATGATGACATCCACGTGACAGCCTTTTCAAACGGAACTTTTCAACAGGGCAACAGTTCTTATACAGCTAGACTTCAACAAAGTATTCCATATATGATACTAAGCGTGCTGTTTCCTAATACCACGACACACTGTTACGCTAGGGGGAGTTACGTGTGTACATTGATAGACAACGGAATCATCGTCATCAATAATACAGCAACAGTCATAATTGCAGGTAAAATGATATATATTGCGCGCAAAACTATATAAAACGAGGGTTATGTATTGTATCACGTATTTTCACATTAACCTAAACAGACATTTGTTTTGGGTTTAATATTCTAGCCCTAAAACAGCATTCACCACATTTATGTTATGTTTGGTAAGCGTAACGACAGCATATAATCCTTAAAGTTTTAACATTAACGAAATAGAGATTCACTTTTGAATAATCACTCCAGCAAAATTCTTAGACATACGAATAATATTTTTATACTTCTCTTCTATCAATAATACTTTTCATATTAAACAGGGGTTGCAATACCAAAACGCTCATATAAACAAATATAAGAAACCCTTTCACTTTGAATACAAACCATTATTTCATCTGTTACAGATATCGCCAGCAACCTAACACTAAACGGAATCAGCACAGTTAATGAGGGTGACAGGTACGAGATGAGCTGTTCTGGTAGAGTAGCTACAGAAGGCGGGGAACTCCACCTCCATACACGATCTGTTAATACTTCCGACTTTGTCAGGACCACAGAAGTTCCCATAGTTACCGTTGGTGAAAATAATGACTTATGCTACCAACTCATAACTAAAACTTACAATTTTATCGCTGAGAATGTCCAGAATGGAACAGGTTTCTCTTGCGTGGCCACTAATGCAAAACTATCATCCTACCAAAGTACCAGTTCAATCGACATGGTAGTGGATTTTGCAGGTACGGTAGTATACTTTTACATATATTGTTTCCTTTAGTTACGATAAACCTATTAACTGTAAAAAATAGTTAGTCTTGCAGTTTCGAGAAAATATAACAATGTTAATTTAAACGTATCGACCGAAACCGTTGGTTTTGCAGTTAGATAAATTTTCACATCTAGTTTTCTCTATTTGTGTTATTTTGAAAATATTAGAATTATAAATTGTAGAATTGTTTGTACCGCTATTATTATTGATACTGTACAAGCTGATACATTCATAGTAATTGTCAGAAGTACCTTTATCTTTTCATACCTTTTTAGTGATTAATGTACAAACATTTGTAGCATGTGGTGTCAATTGAATGAGTCATTCACTCTGTTAGCGTCTGTCTTTTATATTGTTAATGTAAATGCACTGCGATACCATACAACTAACAAATACTCAAAATGTGCAGGTGTTTCGTCAAATATTCGTCAATAGAATAAGTGATGACCATGTTGTGTATTCCCAATCAAACAATTAAAGATTATCATAAAACACATAACATTTTTTAAAGATTTCAGCGCAAAATTTCATTTAAAAAATACTGCATGGATCCCTGCCTACGGTGACAAAAACAGTCCTGAATTCAAGAGCGTTGCAGAGAAAATTGAAAATGACGTGAGTATATACTACAGCTATAATACAGTAACGGCTTCGTTCTGATTCAATGGAAAAGACCTGAGCCTATGTGACAGCCGAGAAGATATTGGCTTGGACCGTAATTGGCGAACGTGCATGTTGATTTGGCTCATTTGTAATAGCAGGAAGTAGTTTTATATGTTTCTGCTTTTTATGTTGAGTGCCAAATACATCCTCCATGTCAGTGGTATGGTATATAAGCTGTTGAATGTATGCATCTTTGCAGACTGACTATGTGTACGAGAGAAGCCCTATCAAGGATAACTACAAGAGAAGCAAAGTCACTGAACTCAAGTAAGCTCTTCATGAGGAACTGCAAGCGCTATGCATTTACAATATTTATACGGGTTCAGCCTCGGAAATGGATATTTTTCAATATTGTCTGGTATAAAACAGAGAGGGACATTCATGTATTTTGTGGGTTTTTTTATAAAAAAAATCAACGTAACTCAAACAAAATGGAAACAAATAGTTAATTTGATTTTTATATTGGTTAGTTTTTACAGATTAGGAACTGTAAACGTCGTCATCGTGATGTTTATAGAGATACAAGTGACAATCATCGATAGTTCAAACAATGTCATGAGGAACTGCAAGCGCTATGCATTTACAATATTGATACGGGTTCAGCCTCGGTTTCTGTGGTACAGACATCATGTCATAACCAGCGTCGATATTTGGCATTTGAAAATGAATTATTAACAAATGGCACTGGCGAAGTAAACGGAAATGGATATTTTTCAATATTGTCTGGTATAAAACAGAGACAGACATTCATGTATTTTTGGGTTATTTTTTAAAAAATCAACGTAACTCACACAAAATGGAAACAAATAATTAATTTGATTTTTGTATTGGTTAGTTTTTACAGAATAGGAACTGTAAACGTCGTCATCGTGATGTTTATAGAGATACAAGTGACAATCACCGATAGTTCAAACAACGTCATCACAACAAAACTGACCGCCACCGACATCCTGACTGCATTTGTGAACACTCTTCCCCAGGTTGTCAACGACCTTACCAACAGTGACCTTAAAAACGTAGACGAAAACAGCATCGTCGGCGAAGTTACTGGTATGTATTTCAACATATTTCCATTGTTTATACTTTCATCATCTATTATAGGTTTACGGATTATGGTTGTGTTGAGACTTGCGTATTCTATTGCTGTTTATTGCTGTTTATTGTACTGTGAACCCCCGTTTACTCGAACTCGTACGGCCCAGGTCAATAGTTGGAGGAATACATGGTATTCGACGAATCCGAGGTTCGACCGACACCGTCATTTGTTTTATCAGGTGGGGCAACAGACAGTACAAGCACTGAGACTATCGCGGACAGTAGCTATTTATAGATGATCGATGGAAAAAGTGTTATCAAGATGACAGCATTTAATAAAATTTAAAATAGCTAGACAATGAAAACATGTTGCCACCGGTATTAAGAAAAGAAATGAAATTAAAAGCTGCATTTGTAAGGTACTTGTCGTTTTGACATAGTCCGCCATAATATAATCGGCTACGTTAATTTTACAAAATATCAAAACGAGACAAACTCTTTGATCATTTTAAAATGACGAAAATCTTGAATCCTCGCAATCAAAATGTTGATTGATAACGTATTTAAGTTTGAATATCTTTTAAGTCGGTCGGACTCTGCAATTTGATTTTTGCTTAATATTGCCATGCCGAAAAATGTTTTTTACACACCAAGTGAATTATCACTTCCGCAAAATTCTTTAATTATCTGACGTCCAGCCGACACCTATATAATAACAATTAACGTGGACCGCAACCCGTGTCTCGAGACATGTCGGCGGCAGTGCCGGTACCTGTGATACACATGTCACAGGACATTTATTGAATAAAAACTCCACACGTCCTGTTGGTTCGAGTCGAATTTATTATGACCGGATCATCATTGCAGATTCATACAGAAAAAAATCCAATACAAATATGGCCTAGAATTAGTATGTCGCCGTATACAATACCTAGTCCAATATTTAATCTATATACTTTTAATTAAATATTAAAATTTATGACTACATTAAAGCATTCATGCTATAGTTACCTTCCGAGACTGTCAAGGTCCGGCAAAATTATGTAACCATAGTAGTCACTCTTTACGAGTACGGCATGACTGTGCAGGCGGGACCTCAGAAGATACGTTAAACGGCCAACTGCGAATTAGCGCAGTGTATTAAATAGCTGTATTACTACTCTCACTCACACTTGCTTGCTTTCTTACAAACTTACACCCTAATTTACATATAATCATCAACAACACCAAAAACGGACATATAGAGACGACCATGACACAACACGGGTAGGACACCACCCTGAGCTATAAATAGTAACAAGGTGCTTTCCACATTACGATACACAGGTGACACCAGTTCGACGAATAGATAGGATTAATACTATGACCATGAATAGTCGGGGGAACATTTTTGTTCGAGGAAAATAACCGTTCGACTAATACGGGGTTACTTTACAAAGAATACGTACGGACTCGGTCAGGACCAAACGAACTGTTCGACGATTGAGGGGTATTCGAGTAAACCGAGTTGAAGGAAGTGGGGATTTACTTTATTTATCTATTTCAATTTCAACAAATTGTATTGATAATCTGAGCAATCGGATTGAAAATCAGGCTGAAAGCCTTTATCAATTTCTCTCCATATCACAATACATTTTATTCAAATAATATCCGGTAATTGATAGAAATGCAAATTATGTAATATGCAGTAAGATAAAGTTATTTATGATCTAATGTATTATGGAGACTATGTTGTTTGCGTATTTAGATAATTGGGACTAGGTTGTTTTGCGTATTTAGATAATTGGGACTATGTTGTTTTGCGTATTTAGATAATTGGGACTATGTTGTTTGTGTATTTAGTAACATGTCTGACAAAATGCCTGTATATAATACACCTTACTTATATTTTTGAAGCTATACTTACATCATGCCATTATCTACCAACTAATATGTCACATTTCTTATTAGCAACATATATAACATATATGATACTTACCTTTAATTACGTAATATTAGCACCCTTTTATTTCATTGGTATATTACACTGAAAAATAGCTCCTTACACGACCATATTATTCATTATTATGTATATTACGTTATATAAATCAATGTATTATTATTAAATCTGATTTTTTTCTTTATCTTTAGCTCCTGACGTTAACTATGGTAAGTAATTTTATATTCAATAGACAAATAATACAAATACTGACAATATTCAAATACGTTAGTGAAATGAAAGGAATCAACAATTGAATATAAACTTACAGTAAAAACTTTTGAAGTCACTTGTGTCAAATGTTTAAAAAAATCTTCAATCATCTTCATGGATGTCACTGGGGTCAAATGTGGAAAACAAACCCTTAAAAACAACTTCTGAATAACAAAAAAACTAAGGGTGATGATATTTAGTCATTAGCGTGCTGAGCTAAAAGGGCTACAACGTTTGTTCATGTTACTGTCCTTGACCCAAATTCAATATAACTAGGGTGATATGTTCAAAAACATTTAATCATTTTATTCTGAATAACCAAAGGGCCTAGTGTGATGATATCAGGTTAGTAGTATGCTAGTATATAGGGCTACAACGTTTGTTGAACTTAATGACCTTGATCCGCTTTCGAGGGCAATAGGGGAAAAGGTTAATATATCTTGAAACCCCTTCTGCATAACTAAAAGGCACCGGATGATGATACATGCACCTGTACAGTCAAATGCTAATATAAAGGGCTACAAAATATATACGAATGATTATTTAACTATGTTAAAACCTTTAAACGGCTTCTTCTTCTCAATTCCCAATATCTAGAGAAATGTTATCTCGCCAGGAGCATGATGAAAATAAATCTACTATTTGTATTCAAATGAATGACGAAAGTCGACGTTCAGTGCTACATTGGTAAAATGTGTTTAAATCTTCAAACAACTACCTTTGAATATTTCACCAGTCGAATCGAAAGGGCAAGCAAGTTTGATAAATGACCCCAACACACTTTCAAGGTCAGACAGGTTGTTCAAATAAATGACCTCATCCCATTTTCAAGGTCACATGGTTCTTCTTATGACATAATATACTCCAGAAAGATATCAATATTCTGCAATGCTCTTGCAATGTGAATGGTATTTAACGGGAGACCGTTCAATATCCTTTTTATATTGGTAAAAATCTATTCGGTTTGCTGCACAAAGTTTTTCATAGCTTGTATATTGCTATCATATTGTGTATTTATGAAGGACAAAGAAGCCAAAACTATTCATGATAAGCGCTTTAGTTTATAATTCAACCGTTACTTAATTGGCTGTAAAAAGCTGAGCACTTTACTAGATTGTAATTTTTTAAGCTTTTTGGTAAATTAAAGGATTTAAGTGTTGATAGCGACCCGGGAAAATGTTTGATGATTTTGAACTGTTTTAAATTTCTCTACCCTTGATCTCTATAGATAGGAAACCATTCATCGTCTTTTTTCTACATGCATAAGAAAGCATTTGACTAGGTATTTACGCAAAGAAGTTGTAACTCTTGTTTGATCGATCCTTTGTTAAATGTAGCTCAATCGGTCCATCAGTCAAGTTTTCCTTTAAAACGCTGCTTTCCCTGAACGGCTCTGTGGATTTTGACTTAATTTGACCTAGAGATTCAATTTGTATAAAAGGAGGTAGTTTCTGTGGGCAAAGGGGCGGGGCCAACACGGGAAATTGGGATGGATGATTAAAATCCTCCATCTGTACGAATGGAGGTGTTTCAGTGTACATGTATAACCAAATTTGGTCTAGCGCATCTTTTGGGTAAGTGGACTCTGTTTTGTAAATATACAAATATTACATATGTTGCCACATCGGGAGCACATGGGCCAGGCCCATAACGGTGTACATAGGGATATATGATTAAACTCCTTTGTATGGAGAGAAACGACATTTGGTGGTGAACATCCTTGGGAAATGGGGGACTCAACTTTGTATAAACGGAGTGTATAGGCCAAATAGGTCAGAGTAGCAGTGCCCAGTGAAAGAAATAGGGGAAACCCTTTACAAATATTTGTCTTCCTTAACCAAAATCCGTCCACAGCATCTTTGTGCAAAGGAGATTTAGTTTCGTATGAATGGCGGGTCTATAAGGGTGCACCATAAAGGGAAGTATTGGTTAATCTTCAAATCGTTCATCTTTTCTATGAATAGGTAAATTTCATCTTTTTATTAGGTCTGGACCTTCCTTATGCAAAGATGACTCATTCTGTTTTATAAATTTATAAATTCCCCCTCGAGCAAATTGGGAAACAGATGTAAATATTTAAAATATAATCGGTCAATTTGTTAATCAAACACTTAACAGCATGTTAACGAATGTTTTATTCAGACGTATTACATGTTATGTAACACGATAGTTTATTCACGTAGTTCAAGCTCTCCACAGCTGAACGCTGGAAATACATTTAAGCTAAATAATTATATTGTATGGACAACATCGGTCATTATTAGGCGAGATAAACGTTACCGGTATTTCTACTCAAAATCATATGCGGTATTATTGTTATTGGGAAAATAATTGATAAACTAAAAATGTCATGGATGGTTGCGCCTCTTTTAATGTTTCGCTTATATATCATTCAATTGTGTATCTCGGATTATTTTATGACATACTTTAAAAAGCGATATCTTTCTCGCAAAGTTGACATTTCACAACTTTGCATACTGGCTTCCTTCTAAAATATGTTCGATTTTTGTTATGGTGCTGTCGTCATCTCTTTGTCAATCTGATCGAGTACAAAAACATCACCGACATGTCGGTCTGAACACTGTTTCTATAACCAAAAAACATTATATTTCAGTCTCATCAATATATATTTTGTTGTTTTAAATGGGGCTCTCCATCTCAATAAATAACCGAGGATTCGGTTGATTTTGGTAACCGGTTCCCGGTCGTCTGGCCGAGTAATGGGTAAACCGTCTTAGTCTTAGTTCGTGAAAATATTTTGTTTTCCCTTTTTAATATTCTGTATTACTAACTAGAAATTTATTTAGCAAAACCACATATGCATTTTGCGTTTGAATTGTATTGTGGAAAAAAAGTACTCTATTAATGAATTTTGGATTCCAGAATGCAGCAATACGAAGACTGACGTTATATTCCTCTTGGACGCCTCAGGAAGTATCGGATCATATAATTTCGTATTAATGAAATTCTTCATTAAAAATATTACAGCAAACATTCTGTTAGGTCCAGAGGCCATTCAAATCAGTATTGCAAAATTTTCCTGGGGTGCTTATAATGAGTTTTGGCTCAATGAATATCATGGAGTATTGGAGCTCAATAATGCCATAGAATCCATCGTATACACCGGTGGAGGGACATACATAGCAAACGCCTTAAACTACGTTAGGGGAAATTCCCTTGCCGCTGCAAATGGAGCGAGAGATGACTCAGAAAAGGTAATAATTCTGATGACTGACGGAGTTTCGTCTGATAATTCGGCAACAATCGCCAGCACACTCAGGAATGACGGCGTTCTTGTGGCTTGTGTAGGAATAGGAAACGGAATAAATACGGTTCAGTTGAATGAAATCGCATACAACTCTTCCTACATATTCTATGCTTCTAACTTCAACGTGTTGACACAAATCAGTGATACCGTAAGGAGATCGACATGTGACCCGACAAACAACGACAACAACTAATTATAACAGAATTAATTTATAACTTTAACGTGTTGACACAAATCAGTGATACTGTGAGGAGATCGACATGTGATACTATTGACAACAATAGTTAATTATAACAGAGTTCATTTATAAATATTTTGAATGATCAGGATCAGAAATTCCGAAGTAAATAAAGGACATTTGAGGTATTGCAAATTTCATTTGTAGGGACTAACTCATAGAGTGAAAGTATATACACACATATCAAAAACAGAAAGCATGTTTGTATTTTAGATATCGTTATTTTCTAAAATCTGATATCCTTAAAATATATCAGAAATTTTTTCAGCCAATAGACGGTGAACTAGTATAACGAGTAAGCTATCTATCTCGAGGTTACACGATGTACTGTTGTAATGTCTAATGTGTAATGTTACATTTACGTATAATAGTTTCTGATACGATGTTTATGCGGTAAACATGCTATCATGATTATAAGTAAAATTGTCTGAAAACATCCTTTAATCTAGAACTATTCATCTCGCTCATATATTATGTTAATGTGTAGTTTTAAATTTAATTTAAGGAAGTAGCAATTGAAATATCTCGAGGATTTCCGAATGCATAAACAATACTTGGCATCGAGTATCATTCTTACAACTCTCTGACAGTTTACAAAAAGGAACATTTAAGGTAAAGTATCAGAAACAATCGCAGAGAAGAGCTCGACTAGAGCTTTTAGAATTGGAAAAATCATCCAATCGTATGGTAGATGAATCAAGTGACTTTTTCTTGATAAAAGAACTTCATGTATCGGGTTATGTAGTTTTCGTGTATTCATTTTTATTTTTATAGACTTTGTGGTCTATCATTTGGAATCTTATTTTTGAGATTATTCTGTATATTTCTTGGATGTTAACATTGCTAGGTGATATTTCTGATGATTATGTCATTGATATATACAATTGTGGGATCGCACAAAGTTACACGATGTGCGGTGTGCGCACGATGAACAATTTGGTGATACTAGCGTTTTGTATTGAGCTAACAAAGAATTGTTTTATCCCATATTCAGAATAACAAATGTGTGTATATCACTGGGGTACTCGATATATGTAACTGTAATACGCTATGCCACCTTACATGCTATTTCGCTAAAGTACTATATGATATATCACCAAGGAACTCAACATGTGTATGTGTAACACTCTTACTATCTTATATGCGATGTCGCTATAGTACTGCACTGTACACGCTTAGGAACTCAATACGAATAGTTATGATACGCTTTATAATTTGAACTCTTTCACTATTGTTCTAAATGCTTTATCACTAAGGTACTCAACACATATATTTGTTATTCGCTATTCTGGCTTTCATGTTATTTCACTATTGCTCTTTATGTTATATCACAAAGGTATTCGATGCATATAATTTGAAATATGCTACTCTATCTTACATGCTTTTTCGCTATAATAGCATATGTTATATAACAAAGCTATTCAATATGTACAACTGTAATGTGCGATTATATTGTAATAGAATGACGCTATGTTCTTTAATAATAATATACCAATTAACTGTAGTGCCATATAACATTTCATCATTATTTTTTATCATTAGATAGTTTTGACTAAGCCCGTGATTTTTGAATACAGTTCACTCCACACGGCCATTAGTTTAAAGACTATCGTACAGTCAGAAGGCACTATTATTGGCCCCATAAACATGCTCATTAGTACTGATATACCAATTAACTGTAGTGCCATATAACATGCTATCATTATTTTTTATCTCTATGTAGTTTAGACTAATCCCGTGATTTTTGAATCCAGTTCACTCCTACCGGCCATTAGTTCAAAGTTATCGCACAGTCAGATTGCACTTGTATAGGCCCCGGAAATATCACGTGATAATAACTTCCATGTAATTGTAATAGAAGATATCAGTTTCAAAACTGTAAATTTGACCGTGCACAGGTAACGTTTGTATTGGAAAGATCATAATGTCATAACGTTGAGAAAGCAATCATTATTTGCGTACAGTAAATTTTGTAAATGATCATAATGTTCAATATCATTTACATTGAATAAGTAAAAATAAAACACTTAATTAATGCCTTCGGTTTTGGACCATAAAAGATTTGCTTGGTTAAAACACTTCGGGATAAAATGTTCAAACATTAAATTAGCATAAACTACATATTTATGAAGCCTTTTCATTTATATGCATTTGTTACGCCCCAAAAGCATGAAACATAAAAACATATATGTGTTTAAGTTTTTATGATCACTTTTTTTAAAAAAACTCTAATAAATCCTAGCAAGATAGTTTCGCTGACTATCTGCCATCTTGGTCACTGGAAACGTTAGCGCAGCGTGAGTTACCTCCCTTTATTCATCGAAGTGGCTACATGTAGACAGTACTAAGGTGTCATAAACCTGTCTAATCTGGAACGGCTCCTGGTTTCTGTTCATAACAGACCCTTGTTTTCTAATCTGGATGACTCACTTCACTTTTTTCTTACTTGTTGGTTGATATCTCTGTCCAGTATCTTAGCCTGCTCCCAGTCAATGATTTTCGCTGTGTTCTGTTTGTTCCTTATATCCCTCATAGTTTTGATTCATCTTACTATTGGACGTAACTGTACCTTTCTTTCGTGCCGTTGTGATATGTTGTCCCTCCTTATTTTATCGTCTTGTTCTATGACGAAATTGTAATATCACTCCAGGACAGGCCTCACTACCCCAAACCTTTTATGTAGGGGGTGGTGGGATATGAAGTGAAAGTACTGGACTCATTGAGAAGGTTCCCGATACACAAGTAGATTGATTGATCCATCAAATTTCCTCACTATTAGAGTGTTGAAGAAAAGTGTATGGTGTCTTTTGTTCTCTCGGGAACTTCATACTGGAGATGTCGTCTACAGAATAACGGTATCGCATGATCTCGAGCACATCTTTATCCACACACCTTTTCCAGAAGAAAGGGTCACACGTGACCAGGGTGTTATTTTTGTTTAAAAAATTCCATATACAAGGTGGAGAAATATATAGGACACCGACCTACCCATGGCTGTACACATGTTTGTTGTTAAATCGGTCCTTTGAAGGAGAGGCACGTAGTGGTGAGAATGGATAAGGTTTATGACACCTTGTTCACCACTGAGGTAAACAAAGGGAAGTAACTACTGCTGCAATAACATCACCAGTAGTGACTAGTCTGGAAGTATGTCGGTGACGCTGCCTTGGTAACAATGTATGACCATTCACACACATATAATTCCTGCTTATTTCCTGATAAATTAACTTATATAGTAATTAAGTACATAACCATTAAACTAAGTTTCAAATCAATATTTCTTAAGTTTTGAATAACCCCTACCCGACCAAGACACATTAATTTAAGGCAAAACCGTAATCCTCAGCTCTGAATAGATTCAGATACATTCGATGGCATTATAACATACCATATACTGTTACTATTTGGGGGTGTAATCGGCTTGTCACTCGTCATTATACGTTATTAAATAAGGAACAGGTCGATGTCACATCTGATCAGTACTATAATGAAATGTCCAGCTATCTGCTCATGTGACATTTTTCCCCCATATATCACAAATGTATACCCGTTTTTTGACAAATCTTTGTTCTCCTACATTGGTATAGACAACACTCATTTACTATTATTCTAAAGCATCCAGGGTAGCGTCATCAATATTATCACACATTCCATGCACCCCTGATGATGGCGCGATGCTTTCAGATTATCATAACAACTCGTTTAGTTTTCTGAATGAAAATGTTGGAGAAAATTCAATTCTTAGCTTCTTCATAATGCAAACTTGCAACCCTCGGGATAACATTTATTGAAGCTAGAACTTGCCAAAGCTGGTTGTGATTTCTCTGTCTAGCAGTACATCAAACTGATAGATTCTAGTAATCTTTGCAAAACTATATCAGCAAATTTGATCCTATTTGTCATAATTTGAGAAAAAAAAAGGTGTACCTAAACTCACATTGTAATACGATTTGGATAGCTGTAAAAACTTTCCCCGTCATCATCTGACATTAATAACAGCTAACCGATAGTTAACTTAGATCTGTTGCACTTACAGTATGTGTATATATATATATATGTATTGGTCTTGAATATATGCCTGTGTACTACGCGCACCGGTGATAACCCGCAGAAGCTAAAACATAGTATTCCGTGAAAGAATTACCATATAGCCGGCCTGGTCAGATTTCCTGCAAATAACATATTGAATCGAATGTACCGGTCTAGTTATCGTGTTTTTCCAATATTTTGGAGACGGCGCCGTGCTTCGCCTTTTACCAGAAACAACTTCTATTGTGTCTGACTTTCAATTTTGATTTTTAATCTAGTGATATACTTGTATAATGTGTACTTTTGTTTCATATTTAATACATGCGGCTCTCAACTGCAATCAAAACAAACAAATTCGACACAGCCTGCACTTTTTTGCATTGATATAAAAGAAAACAGAAAGCCGTCTTCACCAGATACCCGCAAAAGGCATTTTCAGATGTAAAATAGTATATAGCCCGCAGGGTAACGCAAATAATTACAGTATACATCATTTATGCTATTATGTGTCCCTCACCTCAGGTCCCTGTAAACCTTTACACGAACATGTACAATATGTTGGACGAATATGGTTTTAAATGAACTGATGAAGGGTTTATTTTTGATTGGATGCACGTTTCCTTGTATACAGTGTTTTAATATACTATAACAATGCTATTCTTTGTAGAAATCTTTTTTTGTGTTGACACTTATCACTAAAGTTACATTAAACAAGGGAAGCATTCACTATTAGCATGTTTACAACAAAGTATGTGTCCTACTTACACTCATTCCGCCTGTGGTATATTTATAGAATTGCAGTGGTTTTGATTATATGATAAAGGAATGAGGTCTTTATTTGTCATATTATATTGATTTAACTTAATATATGCAATGTGTACCAGTAACGATTGACTATTTGGCATGTATTGGTGATAATTTATATA